GATCATCATGATAAGAGCGAAGTGTACTTTTATTGTGAGAAAAGCTCACGGGAGTTCTCGATAACCAGCGTGAGGGAACCGTTCCGTCCGGGTTGCGAGACTCGCTCGTTCATTTCACGGACCAGGATCGTTAATCGATGCATCGAGTTCAAGACAAGCTTGTCTTGATTCTGGTCCCCATGCTGACGCGGAGCGTTCCTCTGCAGGCAATTCCGTTCTCGTCGCGGCGATTCGTGATTGTTTCCGTTCGCAGATTTTCGCAGACTTCGTATCGGAGTACGGGGAGTCACGGAAGATTAATGACGACCAGCTGGATGAAAGTATGCGGCGATCAATGGGAAGTGGGAAGAGATCGTGAAAATTTAGCAGAAGACCATTGATGCGCTTGACATTAGCGATCATTCGGCCGGCGTTGGACAATCGCATTTGAGCGTTTTCCATACCCGCGACTCTATTGTGCGACCATTGTGGCGACTTTCCGGGTAGATCGCCGGCTGCTGAATGATGCGCACTGCATTCATTCATCCGGTTCATTTCTCGGGGCAATCCGACGACTCCCGAATTCCGGGATCGTTCTCCCAAATATCATCTGAGGGTCCGAAAGAAATTCAAGATGAGGCTGAAAAGTCAGAGGGGGAAAACCCTCCCTAGTTCTTCCGATCGAAACCTCATCGAGCGGCGCGGCTCTTCGAACTCACATGTCTGATCACTGCATTGCTTTCGAGGAGCTCGGAAGACCTGGATAAACTCACGAGGGAAGCCGCGGAAGAAACACTCAGCAGTCTAGCAGCGAGAAGTCGCTCGCTATCCGAGAAGAGAGAAAACACAAGATGGCGCCCGAGAGCGTGCCTCGATCGAACCCGGGAGACCCGAGGAGAATGGGGAAACTTTTAATCAGCAGGTGGAGAGAGTTCGAGTGACAGAAAAAAAGCTGCCTCTAAGAGCAAGGCGCGAACGGTGAAGGGAAAAAAGGTTCCGGAAGAAGTCGTGAGGAGCAGAACGCGAACTCGAAGTTGCTCGACCTGACAGACCCATCGAGGCTACATATCCCATCCGAGCTGTCAAGCCCTCAGATCACCAAGAAGTCGTCCGACAGTCGGTCTCCCCTCGATTGTTGGTCTCCGTACAGTCAATCCCGGGCCACGAGCAAGCGCGTCTCGTCAAATCACGAAGCTCTTGTCTATTCCCGGAGAAAAGCGATATTTCGATCATCTTCGGATAAATAGCTCTACGCTCAGCCTGTTCCGCGAATCGCGAAACCAGAGAGTTACGCGCAGAGCTCAATAACCGTCCGTCGCAGCTGCGGAACGTGCAGCCACAGAAAATAGTTGAAGTTTCTGCTCCTCGACGCTAGGCGTATGCGATAACATGCCCGACTCGATCGCAAGCTCATACTTTGGAAAATTCATGTATTCAAAGAACCTCGAGCTTGATGTTTGGGTGGCCGCGAGGCCTCCGTGCTAGCTTCATTGAAACGCTTTGTTTGTTTTGCTTGAACCTCGTACGGGAATCTAAGGCTCTAATTACGATGCGGCTTCATGGCGTCCGCTCTCGTATGCATCTCTACCTCCGTGCTCGTAAGGCCCATGCCCACTTTCGCCCCGCAGCAATCGCGCGGACGAGGATTGATGCGTTCGAAATCGACGAGATAGTCAAAAGAAGCGGCTGGGGACCGCTTGAGCGCGGGCGGGATTAGCACCGACTCCCCTTCACGAAGGATCCGCGGAGCTCGTTGTCATGGTCTCGATGTTCAGCTTTCCTTCCATGGGTCGGGAGTCGGGACGAACCCATTCCTCATTTTGAGAGACAAAAGGACATGGGTTTGGTGATGTTCAGCTCAGATGGGTCGATGCCTAGCCCACATGGGTTCATGATTGTTCGGAACACCGCATGCCAGGAAATTATCCAGAGCTCCATCCTTCACTTCCGACCCATGGAGAACGTACATACGTTTCATATTGGGAGCATCGGTCCTGTGTGCAGAGATGGAAATTTCTAATTTACCGGAGGTCTGCAATAATAGTCATCCGTAATGATCAAGGTTCCACGATTGGATTGGAGCTTCTGGGGAAAGGGGAGGTGGAGGCACAGTAGCGAGCTGATCGCTATTCAGTCGAGAAGCAATAAAAAGCGACGAGCTGCGGAAAAAGTTACGCGCGAGCTCGACGGAATGTGCAGGGTTAGAGAACAATTGAGAAGTTCCGCCCACTCTGGTGCTGTGTCACCGGCACCCTTCAGAGGTTGTTGCACTATCGCACCACTCTCGCGGGAGTTCTACGAGGGAACGGCCTCGAGGGAAAATCAGACGACGAGGGATAGGTACGACGGCGGGGCGGCGAATACAGGGAAACGCCATCCGGCAAGGTGGCCGAGCGCGTCTGTCGGTCAGCTAGGATTTCCTTTTCCCCTTCCTGAGAGCTCCTCTTCGTGGTGTCACAAACAGGAAACACCGAGAGCGAGAAGGGTTAACGGAAGGATGCTCGCTCGCCTTCGCAGATGACTGCCTCACGGAGGGTTATTTGCGATAAGGGCGCCTAAGAGGCAACGTGATGCGAAAGCAAGACAGGAACACAGTCTGAGCGCTCGCTCGACCAACTGATAATTCAATACGACAGGGAACCATTCGCCTCGAGGTGTATGTAGAGAGCCCCGGTCTCAGGTACGCAGGCCTGCGGTCGGAGATCGGTGGCGGCCTCGATACGGCGCTCGACATGCGTGCTCTGGGCTCCGATCTACTGCTGACACATGGATTGCGCCGGGTTGACGGAAGTTTGGAGTTCTCTCCGATTGGGAACCCACTCCTCGGGGGAACCTTGGCGGTGCCTATGCTCAAACGGCCAGAGACCGCTACGGATTTTCCAAAAACAGTTCGCGCGGCTGGGCCTTAGCGCCCTCAATTCCGCTGCCGGGGAAACGAAGAACAGTCCGCCGCGGTGAAACAAGTTTAATCGCTAAACTCCTCACACCCGCTCCAATCGACTCAAAGAAAGTGCGAGCTGGTTGGAGATAATTAATTATCGAGCAAGCAGCAATCAGGCGCTCGTTCGGTCGTTCGTTCGTCCGCTCGCCCACTCAGTCGAATCCGACGCCGCGCCGCCTCGAGAAAGCTCGGCGGGAAAAGAGTGCACCAGACAGGTGAGCGAGCAACAATGTTTCGCCAGTCAAAATCGATGCTCAATCGAAGTATAGGCTTTACGAAGTTCCATCTCGGCTGAGTCGCTCCGCCGACCCGTCTCGAGCTGACAAATAAACTCGAAAATCCTTTGAAGATCGCTACCCACTGATCATTCTTCGTTCTTCGGATGGGGTGCGGGACGAGTTCGCGAGTCGGTTTTGTCTGAAGCTTATAATCCGGAATTCGATCGTTCCCCAACTTTGTGGAGTTTTTTTTTCGCCAGTGGAGGATATGTCGGCGACAAAGAGATCGTAGTAGCCTGAAAACTCTTTTGGCTCAATAGGGAAAGCTCAGCTTGAATCCCCCGCCTAATCCCTGGTCTCAGAGTCTATTCATATCAAAAAGATCCGAGGTTTCCCCACTGGATTCCCTGCCGCAAAGGCTGTCGCGAGCTGGCGACGAGAAGTGCTTTCGGACTTGGCTCCGAATTTCCGGAACGAAGGCTTGCTTTTCAGGGAAAGCGCTTGTCGGGATCGTTCGCAGTAAATCGTGCGAGCTCAAGGGGGAATTACCGAGAGAGAAGTGCGTGAGAGGTCTAGGAAAAGAGCAAGAAGCCCCAAGACTCCGTAAGGCCATGTTCTCCGCTGCTACGAGGACTCGAAGCAAGAGAGAGATGTTGCGTGTGAGAATCCATCTTTGGAACGGTCTCTGAGTCGCCGAAACTCGGCCGGTTGGGCTTCAGTTGGGTCACACCATTCCGAGTGGAACGTCTCCATGGGGGAACGACATTCCCAGTGAAGTAGTAGCCAAACAGCCGCAATTGTTGTCGCCCTAGTTCGGTCCTCCATCCTTGCAATCTCCACTGTGATTGCGAGACCGGACTCCGTTCCTCTCAAGAGCCTTTGTCCGGGAATCGAGGATGAATTGGCTACAGTTGAGAGGAATCCAGCCTGCTTAGTCCTAGCTCAGTCAGTCCTGCGGAGCTACGATCAGCTGATTCTGGCGGCATCCGTTAGCTGGCGGGGAATTACGGGATTTCGTGGACGGAGAAGATTTGCGAGCACCTCGGCGAAAATTGAAAATTTCGCTGAACTATGCATTCCCCGGTCCGGAAGAGAGAGAGATCGGACATGTTCGCAGGCTTCCGTGAGTTCATCAAGCAGCTCCGGTTCTCCTCGGCGGATCTCGTTCTTTTTCTCTGCGCCCATCTACTTACCATGAACACACGAACAGGGACCGCCTCCCCCGATGTCGACCTAGAGTTCTTATTCATTTCAATATTCATCAGCTTACGCACATCAGCTACTCATGACGACCCTCGAGAGGTCTCGTGCCCCGGGAAATTCGGAGCAGATAAACTGAAAAGGCGCCGCGTTGAGAGAGAATGAAGAGAAGCTCTCTCGCAATATTTCAGACACCTCTTTAGAAGCCGTCCCAGACCAAGTAATTTTAATTCCTTCTCAGGAGAGATACTCGTTTTTTTTTCCTCTCGAGGCGACTCTCTGCAACTGTTTCGAACCACATGCTCGACAGTACCGCTGGCGAGCAGTCGCGAGTCCGGGTCCCTGCCCCTTCTCCTTGAACCTTCTCTGCCGATCCCATCGGTCTGACTGACTACGATGATGACGCGCGCTGTGAGACCCGTCCCCCCGGGACATTCATGACGTTGAGCCCGATCTCCCTGCCATCGCAAAGTCGTCGCGCTCGTGAGCGAGAACCACGAGGGAAGAACTCGAGTTTGGAACCCTCGAGTTCTGCGACCCCTAAAAACTCCCTCCAGGGCGTCTGAAATCTAGGCTGGAAGACTTTCTGGCTCGAGTGCGAGGGATACGGAGCCTAGCGCAGGTCAACTCCCCCCCTCTGACTGAACAACGCTCCAAGAAGCATGATATCTTTGATGGAGAAATCGAACCATGTGGAGAATGTTCCAGAAATAAGACGCCAGAAACCCGGGAAGATCGATGCGCAGCGTCGTAACGTGGAGTTTTTGCTCCGGTGTTTCCGCTCCCGTGGGTGTGGAAGTCGCTGCTCCGATCTGTATCTCCGAGCTCCTGATGAAATTATCGAGATACGGAACACCGCCCGTGGAATATTATCTTCTCCGAGCATTCATATCAATCGTCTCCGCGGCCGCTACTTTCTCCTCGGGGCCGACAGGAATGTGAGGCGATGCTGTATACGAAAGGATATGCCATCATCTCGACTCCCGACCAAAGAACATGCCACGCTCTCGACTGCGAACCTTATGCGGTACATTTTTCGAGAGGAAGCTCGGAGTACTCCTCGGAGAATCTTGTGGAAAAGGACAGCTCCGAAATCGTGGTATCGCGACAGCCCCTCTGAGATTTCCTGACTGAGACTTGCCGATCTTTCCTCTAGGACAGAAAAATCCTCGAATCGAGGTTACCGTGCTGAGTCATTGCCGCGTAAGCTGAATTTTCAGCTCGTCGCTGCTGTGCTGGCGCGACCTTGAGGTAGCCTAATTCTTTTTCTTAGTGAGACTGCGACCCTTGGAGCAAGAGGAGGAGGAGAAAAAAACAGAAAGTAGAGTGAACAAGTAGAATATTCATGCCGTACATGGCAGATCAGAGAAGGTAGGGCAAGCCATCGTAGCTTGCTGGCTGACTGGCTGGCTGGCCGGCCGGCAGGTGGGGGGCATCGCCTGAAGAAGAACAGGCGTCTCATGCATATTGATGCCACTCTCTGCTCTGTAGTTCAAGTCAGAGAACAGCACGACAAGGGCGTCAGGTCAGGGCAGAGCGAAAGCTACACCGTGCACATTCCGTTGCAGGATGTATGGCTCGGTGGCGTTTTTAGAACATATTCGAGCGAAGGTCGGGCAGAGTGACTGAGCACCTAGAGTATCCCGGCTAGATGAAGGTTCCATGTCGAGCGACTTTCAATGAACAGTAGGAATCGCTTCAGAAAAAGCATAGAATGCCCCTCGCGGACTCGGGAGGGAATCCCGTCTATGCGGGGAAGACGCGCACGTGGATGAGACATCACGGATCACGGCTGTCGAAACTGGGTTGTACGATTTCTAATTCGTAATTCTCTCTTTTTTTGCAGTGGTGCTATTGGATACAACGACAGAAACTTCGTTAGACTGGCCGCGATATCCGTACGGACCGCAAGCGAGAACGCCAGGAGTAAGTACCCTATCAACACCTACACGTATGCCTAGCACGATACATGTCTCGTAGTGCATTGTATTATATTCTAAGTAGGAGTCCGATCTCGTTCGGAGAGAGCTGAAGGTCCATCTCTCGCTCGTTGGCTCAATGATTGATTGAAGTGGTTCTGCGAGAATCGTACTTCATCCCGAGTCGATCTCCTTCCCCGACTTGGGAACGTAGATGATCCAGCTGCACCGACACTCTCCTGATGAGTCGATTACAGTCAGAATGGATCCTATAAACTCGTGGATAGTCACGAGATGGACAAATGAGTTCGCAATTGATATCGAACAATTCACTCAGTCAGCCATTGAGGCAGAACAGAGCCGCCAGTCATCAAACCGGCAACCTTCCCACTATGGAGCCGGTGGGAGAATGTGGCCGCCCGTTCGCCATGGAAGCTTCGTCTATTCACTTCCGTTCGTCTCACCTACCCTCGCTCGCTGTGTGAGCCTATTATGCTTATCATATCTCCTCTGTTCTTCATTGGGTCCAAATTTGTGACTCATTTGTTTTCTTCCCCACTTCACCTTCCTGCCGCCTCAAGCCGGGCTTCTACCTCCCGGCTCTGGGCGGTCTACTTATTCTTCGACTATCGTGTGCTGCTTTGCAACTTCTCGCTGGGCTCACCTACTACACACATACTATATCGCGCCTGGAAGCATCACTAGCGAGTTGCTAGAGAGAGACCATAATTCCGAGATTTGATATGCCAGCAGCTCCCGATATGAGGAGGAGGAGGAGCTCGTATGATTCCCTGTCGGAAGGCGACATTTTTGGATCGCTAACGCATCCGTGCGCCTGATGTTCTCCCCTCCAGATGCGAGGATGAAGGAATTTCCGAGCTGTGCTTTTATGATCTTCGGGCGACCGAACCGTCTCTCGACGACGTACTGGAAAAGCGACGCCGACGGTATTGCGTGAATCGATTATACTTCGCAGTGAGCCCATCTCGTTTTGGTGAGAGGCCCCGATACAACATGCGTTGCATCGAGTCGGTCAACTCGAGCTCCTCTTCCTGCAAGTCGGCCTGACGACTCGTCCGTCCCCGGCTTCGCGTCATTGGAGCATTCGTCGTCCCACCGAGTGGGTTCCTCTCTCGAGATAACAACAAGACAATTAGATGTGGTCCGCCAGGTCGGAGTAGGGCCACCAGCCGCGACAGACACCTGCCCACAGCATAGGAAACGCTACCATGCACGGTGGCAAGAGCCTCTGCAACTGTCGAAGCTAATAATGATGAACGAATGACTCATCGCATCGCAACCCGCCGCCACGACCACCCCGACCGGTCGCTCCACCGGCTGGCTGCGGGAACCAGACCAGCTTCGTTTGGGTTTTTGTTTCCAAATCAATGTGCGTTCCCGCTGAGTTCGCCTCAGATGTTTTGCGTTGCGCGCGTCGGGAGCTTCCGAGCGGCTCTTCCCCGAATTATTTCTCCTCGTCGCAGTCGGTCGGGGAACGGCTTGGACGCAACGATTCGCCCTCATTCAAGTCGCCAACTTCGGTAGATGGGTCCGCATCAAAACATCTCTTTTGATCTTTTGAAACTCGGCCCCTCCCTGTGAGGCAGGAAACCCGAGGCCGGGATGAACTACATGGTTGACATCCGGCGTGGGAGTTGCCTCTTTTGAGCTGGTCGCTGAACTCTCGAAACAGAAGACGTCGATGAACCACTCCAACTCGCTCGGTAATCAGTGCTGATGGGATAATTCGCTGCGGTGGCGTTCTCGACTTCTTGCTGGCAACAGAACCGAAGAGAGGAGCACATGAAGGAGAATAGATTGAAATCGAGCGGCATCCAAAGCGCTTTATAAAGAAGAAGATTGTTTCTCCTTTTTTTTGACGCGGGAAAAGAGTCTCGGGAGCGAAATCGAATCTCGGCGCGTTCGACGCTGTTGTTCCTGTTGTCATTGTCGTTCTTGGAGCTTTTCCGTTTTGGTAGGCAGGCAAGCGAAAATCGGGAGAAGACGAGCGATCTGAAAAGGGGAATCAAGGACCGCCCCGAGTAGGGACCGAGCAGGATCACGTAGCAGGACGCAGGAAAGAGAGAAAAAAAATAAAACGACAAAGGCAATTTCACGATTCGTTAATGCTCGCTGTCTGTCGCTCCTGTTCCTCGCCCGCGTTCCAGCTCGCACTGTTCCCCTGTCGTTGCTTCTTCGTAGTCGCCTGCACTTCCCGTGCACTTGACGCTGGCTCGCCGACGGTGACCATTCTAATGGCTTTGCGAGCGTGAAGCCGAAGTAATCCGAGACTCCGATGCTTGTCGCATGCAAGTGAGGCCTGCACGGAAGCAACATCAGCTGGTGAACTACCGACGGGGCGCAATCGCACGTGCGGAAGAACACGAGCCGACCAACCGGACGATGGACCTTCGCCTGTTAGCCCCGCTGCTCCATGAGGATCACATCTTGTCGCCTAAAGAGAGTCTCCGGTCTCCGTTCTGTCATCATCATGGGAATAAACTAGAACCCGCGATGCTTGGGCCAAACTGAAAGCGTCTGCCCCGCGCTCTGATCGCTGCTACCGCGGGAGAGACAGTTGGACGGACAGCGAGAATAGGGGACCGTGCAGCAGACAGTCCGCACGCAGACGAAGATGAAGACAAAATGCACACCGCCCGCCGCCGCTGTTGGGATGCGCGACAGTCGAAGAGTAAATGGTTGCACGCACCCCAGAGGTTACCGCTCGAGGTGGTCGCTCACCCGTCTGTCGTATGTTGGGAGCCGCGGGGAACTTGGATGGACCGAGAGTGAACGTTATTCGTTCAACTGAAAGAATGAGAATGCTTTTTCCTTCGTTTTTTTCCCCGCTCCCTCGGCTCGTCTGTCTGCATTGCGGCCCCTGTCGGTCCCTCATTGTCCGGGGCTCGCAAGCCGGTCGGTTGGTCTCTCCGTTTGTTTTCCAACTGACTGAGAGTTCGTGAAGTCGAAGTATGCGCGTAGGGTGAGCTGGGTGGCCTGTTCCATACGGTGACGGAGGCCCCACGGAGACAAAAACGGAAAGACTCAAAGGAAAAAAAGTGCTCTAGTCACCACAGGGGTGAAGGGTGAACCAAACGTGGCTTGGGACAACAAACACGATAGGAACAGGGCTCGGCGGTTGAGAGACGGGAGTGAAAGAAGTGTACGTGGTTTGAATGGCAGAAGCTTCTGCGAGAAGGGGCGAGAAGACGAGTACGAAACAGGCAAGAAAAGAAGAATAGCAGCAGCAAGCCGCGGCGGTAGTGATGTTGGCCTCGTCGGTACGCTCGGCCGAAGTCAGACAAGCAGCAACGAACGAGCCGTGGGCAGACGGGGCAAGAGATTACTACACGACCAGAGTAAGCTCGCCGCGAGACAATAAAACCACAACGCCGATTAACAGAAGAACGAGGACGGGGGATAACCGGCGAGAGCTGCAAAACCAGCCGCGCTCCAGGGAAAGACCTGCGAGGGCTATTACTGAAACCATCGCAGAGAGCCTGATGCAAGGAACAAAAAAAAACGCCTTGTTGAAGTAGAGCGCATTGCAGAACAGAGAATATATGGATATGTTTGTTACGACGCGAGCTCCCGGGAGAAGGGTCTGCGGGAAGTGAAGGCCGACTGAAGTGACCCTCGTTGGCCGCAATATTATGCGTACGTATTCGGTATTTATTCGCAAAGGGGAAACGAAGAACCTTTGTTCCGCAAGAATGGATACGGGAGGGAGCGGGGCCTGGAGGCAAATGAAGAATGGGAACGGAAAGTCTCGCACTAAAAACGAGTCGGCCGCGCTCGGAGGGAGCAGTGTCCTGAAACATTATGATACGGAGCAGCGAGACTCGCAGATGTTGAAGCAGAAGACATGCGAAAATTCCCCGTGAAACGGGCAGCGAGAAGGCGGAAGCTGACGTTCTCAGAACGTCTGTTTATCTTCACTGATGGCTTCTCTTGGTAGCCGGGCGAACCGGTCTGGCGGACGGACGAGCGAATAGACGGCCGATCTCCGGCCCCCGCTCCCGGTTGGTCCCAGCTCGCTGCGACCGAGTCTTCGCAACTCACGAGTGCGGGCTCACCCATCTGGGGGGTTTCGGTCTCGGCGCAGCTCCAACTGCCGCCCGCGTCGCACTTGCTAGCCAGGCCAAAGTGGTGGAAGGAAGGAGACTGATAACGTAGTGAGCTTACGAGCGGGCGCCCGCGCGGGCGAGCGAGCGAAGGAGTTCGGATGGTGTCATTGTTCTCTCCATCTCCCCGTTTTTCCGAATCGGTTGTTGAGGGAAATCGAGCTCCGCTCGTCCGGAGGAGGGAATCACGGAGGAACCCGATACTTCCTTCGTATTGGTCACGTTGACGACTCCGAATGAGGCTAAGATTCCAGTGAACTCGGATCTTGCACCCCTCGGAAACCCCAACGTTATACGACTGCTCGAGCTCTTTAAAGGTCGAGATGCAGGACAAGAGAATGGGGAAAAATGAGGATCCGTAAACTCCTCTCCCATCGAATCAAGATCTCGGCCTGGCCGTGTGAGTGACGGGCCGTTCTAGGTCCGGGCAGCTGGTGAAAATGGCAATTTTTCCTTTTCCCATAAAGTCGGTCAGGGCGCCGCCGCCAGCCGCAGGGGCTGCGCCGAATAACCCCGCCGTCGCCGTTCGAATCAGGATGAAGGGGCAGGCTTTGAACCGATGAAGCCAGTCCGCACACTGAGTTACGGGAAATCGAACTCGAACGAGAGGGAAACGCTTCCGAAGGGTCGCGGGTCTGCCGGGGTTTGGCACGCCATGGTGCGGGTTCAACGCCGCTCTAGCGTCGTGAGATTGGCGCGGAAAGGCCCTCCACCATCGGTGGGTCACTCCGTTCGTCCGTCCGTCCGTCCGTCCCTACATCCAACCAGCTGACACCAGATGGACATATCAGCAACATCTGTGCACTCAACTGGCACTCTCTACTTGTTCATCTCGTCCTTCTTCATGAACACCAATAGTCGACGGAAGGCGGATGGCCAGGCCGTCTGGTCGGGCGCTCGGTCAGACAGCCAGGAGAAAAGACGAAAGCGAAGAGATCAGATGAATATTAAGTTCCTTTACGCTTCTCTAAGCCTGCCTGTAAGCCGGTCCGCCGGCCCGCACGCTCGCTCGCAGGCCGGCCTTCTCTCGCAGCCTGGGCCTGTCCGTCATTCACTAGCTACTCGTCCTCTATGTTTCCTCGCCCTTTTCCCTCTGTCTCCCTCGCTCCCGATCCCCAGATCCTCGTCGAGTGAGTGACTGCTCCTTCCGCCCTCGCCACGTTAGCTAGGAGGCTAAAAAAGAAGAGTGGCTCATATATGATTACATTCCGCTCCTTCTTTCCTATGTGCAGGGGCTCGTGTTCCACAAAACAAGAGCAAACCCATTAGAGGCGCGGTGTAAACCGCGGCCTCGCTCAGATATTCCTTCCGCGACGGATGGTACGACGAACCCTGATCGAAGGTCAGCGATCAAACACCCCAAACCGGCGGCCGCGATTTCGTTCCCGTAACAAGAATCGAGGTGTTTCCCTTGCTCCTAACGCCGATGTCATCTTGATGATGGTCCCGAGAGAGGGAATCCCGATGAGGCATTGCGAATTTTCCACAAAAACACATGGACGGATCGACGAATCGAAAGCAATCTACGATCTTAATGGATGTGAGCTATGGCGGCGGTGGCCGAGGGTCCCGCGTGCGAGAGTCCGCGCGGATGTGGGCTTTGGTTTGGGGAATAGAAGCCAGCCACGAGGCGGCCGGGATGCCAGACAAGCAGAGCAGGCATGGAATGAGTGAGTGAATGAACGAACCAACGAACGAATGAATGAATAGATGGGGGAACGAATGACTCAAATGGGCATTCGGCCAACCAGTCGGCGGAAGGTGGGATTCCGTTTTTAGTGCTCACTTCCGCCAGTCAAAAGGAATGGCTTCCCGACTCGTGCACTCGCCGCGGCTCCCAGCCGCAACTATTCCGCAGCCACTCCCCCTTGGCTCGTCCCGGTCACCCTCGGCCCTCCCGGCAGCAGCCACTCGGTCCGAGCGCGTTCTCTAATGATTTGTTGCTGGTCGCCGGATGCAGGAATAGTTTGCGTGCTGTTTCCCCGGACGAAGCTAAATTGTGAAAGGCACGAGTTGCGATCTTGGAATGTTAAAAGGCAGCGAATGGAGCCACTGACCTTGGTGCCCGAGCGCTGTTTCTCCGAATCTGCGGTGTTTGATTTGTGAGTATGTGTTTGTGTATGTGTTTTGTCAAACACGACGGGATCGATTCCGAAATACGACAGAACACTGGTGCTTCATCCGTCCGGAGCGGAATCGATCGCGAAAGTCTGTTTTCGACTCGGAGCAGGCCCGTGGTCTCTACAGGGAGCTCATCACAAGTTGCGTCGTCACGAAAAAAAACAACGAGCTAAGCCCGGAATCAAAAGAAATGCGAGTGGGAGTACGACGGAAACTACGATATCCCTCTAGCGTCGATCGCTTCACCCCGCTATTCCCTTCGACTTGTCCTCGCTCGACGGTGAGCGAGAACGGAATTCGTGCGTGCGTGAGTCTCTGTTCCTTCCGCGGAGCAAGACCGGATCGAGAGCTGATGAACCAACGAGCGCCAACGAAACGCTCTATCAGTCGGAGTGCACTAAGGCAGAGAATGTAGTAGGTCGACTCTCGCTCCGCTTCTCTTCTTTCCTTCTCAGGCTCATGCCTCATTGAAGAAGTCCATTGACAGCAATTTATCATCTCAAGTGAACACTGAACGGAGGAAGACACAGCCGCACTTCCAATGTGTGTGTACCGGCCAGCAATCGAACGACTCGACCAGGTCGCTTATCCGTCGGCAACCTTTCCCAGCCTTCACCTCTTCGATAACGACGACCGCGGCGATAGCCGATGTCGGAGTCAACGTTCAGTTCGCCGTTATCTTTCTCCGTGTTTTGCACCGTCGAGAAGCCCCCGATGGCTTCCGGCTCGAACGTTCTAGCCTGGAGCGGGAGCAGATCGGTGGTGACCGAGAACGCAGGCGGAATAAATATTTCGATATATTCCGGTGCGTTCAGAGTTTCAGGCCATGGCGGCCAACCTTTTGTTTGAAGTAGCGATCTCATCGCCGGCATCGAGACTATCGTGCCCGGGGAGGATTCTCGCTCCGCAATTGATATTCTGTAGCGGCGAGGAACTTCGAAGTTTGCTCAACGAATCGAGCAGCCCGAAATTCGGACCGCCCACTCAACTCTTTTTTTTCCATCCTCTGGAGGTAAATGTTGGGCGTAGCCGTCGAAGTTACTTGAACAACAAAAGTGTCGTGAGCGCTCGATGTTAAAATCGAGCAGAGCCCTCGTCCTCACGGCGGCGACCGACGGACGGACCGATGGTCCAAACTCCGATCCGCTACGGGCGCAGGTCGCTGGCTGTGGTCCTGCTCTGATGGGCGAGGCTAAGATTGTTCGGCGGCGGCGGCGGGCTGTCCGTTCGTTCGTGCGTCGTCGTTTTCCCTTCTGCTCGGATCTCTCTGCTACGCCCCACAAATTACTTCAATTAGAACAACCACCGCGAAATAGATCGATTCGCCTCGGTCCGATCTCCTGACTGAATCTGATCCCTGTGCGCGTCTCTCTCCATATAACTCTTCCCGATTTATACGCTTCTCATGGCTGCTGGTAATTGCCTAATGATTCGAAATCTGCTACCGAGCGATGACATCAGACCCTCGGAGAGTGAAGGAGCACAACTGGATATGATGAATTGATGGCTGAGAAATTATTATCGTCGGTGAAACGAGAATCAATGGACCACCGAGCGGGAGTCAATGGAGCCGACGGAGCCAAATCAGAGGTTTCCATTCCGGATACCGATTCCGAATACGTAGTGAGTCGCCTTCAGCAGACATAGGTTTTCTAATATTCTTTTTATTTCTTTCCAGTGGGTCGAGGAGTCCTTCACGGATTTCGGCAAAGGCATAAACTGGCGATCGTATGTCGTCTGTGACGTCGCCTACCGCAACGTCAACAATTGGCTGTGGACCCCGCTCATCGAACGAAGTAATGCGTCGAGAATATACATCGAAGTGCAATTCTCCATGCGGGACTGTTCTTTGTTCCCGGGCATGGCCGTTAGTTGCAAGGAGACGTTTTCTCTCCTGTACTATGAAGTCGATGAGGGTCCCAAGGAGACACCCTCTTGGGAGCCCGAGAGCTACAAACTCATCGACAGAATCGCAGCTGATGAAGGGAGGTTCACATCGACTAATCAAGTTATAATTAACACTGAGGTGAGTGATTGACAAAGTTCGCACTTCTGCACGCCGAATCTGCTTCCGGCCGTCTCCATCACTTAGTAGTTCCTAGTCGCTGCTCTGGGATCTCGCCAGTTATTCCCGTCGCTATCATCGTCATCGTGCCGACCTCGGTGAAAGACTTCGGGGAAAATCGACGAGATGCCCCTCGTCCACCGTCCGGTCCGCAGCGGCGTTTGAGCCCCTGAATTTGATTCCGACAGTATCGAGAGATTTCCACGCCAGTCGGTGGGACCGTGTTCGTCTTCTCGCCCGCGTGTGGCCTCTCGCAGGGCCGGGTCTGCCGAATAGCAATCTTACCAAAGGTGGAATCTATCGTCGATCATCGTCGCACAAAGCTGGAAGATACAAAAAGCACCGATGGAACGAGACGGTGCTGCGGTCACACCAGAGATGGGAGATTGGTGTACCACCTGGAAAGCTCGCAGAACCCAATCTGCTTGCTGAATCTGTCTCTAAGCTCGTAGCTCGTAGTTGTCGCGGCGGCGGCATAGAAGTGCCATCGGTATCGTCTTCCTTTCGGTCGTGATAGTCGTTGCTAGTGTTCGCCCCCATGGCAGCCGCAGAAACTTTTCTCGCTCGGACGGATCGGGAACTATTCTACGGTGAATAGCCGGCCCGCCTATTTGCCAGCTAGCTTGCCTGGCTCGCTACCCTGGAACCGCAGCAGGCCTCCTGCAGCGAGTTGTCCGTATGTGAAGCGATTCGCCGATCGGTCGGTCGACCGGAATATGAGAGTAATTCCCATGAGTTCGCGAGCACCGGTCACCCGAACTATCGGAAGATATCGTGAATACAAGTAAGGTTCAAAGGCCCATCGAATTTGCATATTATCGTGTGACGTATCCAGATCGACATACCTACCATGTCACCGCCGCTACGACGGTTATCTGAAAGGTTCTCTTTCATTTACTACTGTTGTTCGGAGCTCGGCTCGTGGGAGTCCTCACGAGCTCCGTCTAAACGCTCGGCTGTAGGGCACAATTAAACAGCTGTTCCAGGTCAAATCGCTTTGACAGTTTGCGTTGTCTCGGGCGAGAACAATTGCGGCACGTATTATCTGTCCGAATCATCGTTCGCGGCTTGACCCCGCTGTTTGAAGATTCAATTCATCTGTCGGGGCTCATTTGAATTCATTCATCAAGTTTTTTTCCGTTTGTTCTGATCATGACGATGATCAGCTTAACTGAGAGAGCGACATTAGGCGAGCGGTGCGTCGCGCTACTCCTTTCTGAAGTTGAATGAACGGAGCGACCTGCGGACTTGAATGAAAAGAGATGTGGTGGAATTAGTCGAGCTAATTAGTGTGCTGGTGCTAGTTTTGCATTTCGTCAGCCGTGACTGGTAAGCCAAATCCTGTAACTCGCTCGGGAAAACCAATCCGGCAACTTCTCTCCGTAGTTCGCTCCGATGCAAGAAGTTGAGCGGTCCCACGTGCCGATTTCAGGATTGATCTATCGTAGAGTCAGTGACATCTACGCTCGGGAGGAATAAGCACTGGCTCTTCTTTCAGGTCCGCTCGATACCTGTGACCAAGCGCGGCGTGTATTTCGCGGTGCGAGACGAGGGCGCTTGCCTCTCACTCATCGCGCTGAGGGTTTACTACATAACGTGCCCTAACGTGACGATGAATCACGCTTTCTTCCCTGAAACTCCGACCGCCGCCGACATCACTGCCATTGTGGCGCGCGAAGGTCGCTGCGTCGCCAACGCCCAGATGATTGAGACGCCGAGACTCGTCTGCAAAGGGGACGGTGAATGGACTCTGCCCACGGGCGGCTGCAAGTGCAGCCCCGGTTTCGAACCCGCGGGCAAGGAATGCAGAGGTAAGAGAAGTCTGGATTGAACTTTTATTTTGGAGAGCCATTCAATTCCTGTGATTCCGCCGATTCTCGCCTCGGATTCTACCGTGCGGCTCGGGAGATGAGGGGCGCTGATAGTGAGAGTCTAGACGAATAAAAATTCAAGATAGACGGGATTGAAGAATTTTCGGCCGGGAAGAAGATGACGACAATGACTGCTGTCCGAGATGGGGATGGACAGGGATGGGAGCTTAGAATGAGAGATTAGAAGAGATCATCGAATCCGTGTCGGGGTCCAACCTTCAAGGTGTCACTACATAGACTTTCCATCATGAAGCATTTAAGAGGGCATAGGTAATCATCATCTATCGGACGACTGTCTGGCATCATTGAGCGGCTCCACAACAAGTCTTTCCAATGCTTTCCCGTCAAGCACCTTCTCATTGATCGAATTCCACGCCCACATATCATCTGTCTGCACGGAATTCGCGATCGGACTTATTTTTTCCGCTCCGAATGATCTCTGCATGCAAGGCATGAGAGCTCTCGAACTTTTCAGGGGCACGGCCCCGGATCGAGCTCGAATATTTTCGTTTCATGACTCCGTAATAATTATTTCATCGACGTTGACGGATAAAGAGAGAAAACTGTGGCTAGAAGATTGAAGAACGAGTCATCCCGAGAAGCTCGACCTGGACGCAAGTGTATCCCATTGGATAGAGGACGCGAACGAAGTTTGAGGGAGCAAACGACGAACGATACCATCAAAATCGAGGGAGAACGTATGGAGCACTTGACGCGCTCGGCTGAAGGACCGGCCGACCGACGGACGGACGGAAGGGACTGACTGCGCTCCTCCCGCTTGCAAGGCAAGCATCTGTCTCTTCTTGATCCGACTCAACGAACAGAGTGGGGAATGCACACAAGAACGGGAATGCCGAAAGTGAAACAGCTGGCTGCGCATTGGCTGCCTTGTTGCACTCACTCAGATGCACGTTAGATATAAACACGAGTTCCTGAGCAACCACCCGTCACTTCTCGTCCTCGAACACGCGGCTGGCGAGAGAATCAAAAAGACGCGCAACGAAAGAAAACGCGGCGCCTGCCCCCCGCCGCCCACGAGCCGCATCCTACAGAGCCCTCCCGCTCTTGTTGCCCCGCCTTGCGTCGGTCGTTGTCCCCACCGTTCTGAATGCCCGTTCGCTTGTTCGCCGCCGTCCGAGAGAGAGCTTTCGACGGCAACGGAAAGAGGAGAATCGAAACGGAAGACGAATCGAGAAGACAAATCGAGAGGGGAAAACCTGAGAGGAATAAGACGAGTCGAAGAAATTCGAGAGAATGCGCCGCCGCCGCCGACGCTCCCTAAGCTGCTCAGCCGGGGAGCCTGAAGGCGTTTCAGAGACTGTCAGATGGCCCGCTCCCATGATGAGCGAGCAAAATGAGGAAGAGAACAAGAAACGAAATATCATCAAATGACAAATCAAGCGGAATATGAACCGGGACAAGACGACGAACCAGTCACCCCGCTCCGCGGCCGGTCTCTAAAACACCCGCCCGCCGTAGTCCCACAGCGTTAGGATCTCCGACCGGGGCGGAGGAGGGAAGAAGGAAAAAAATTCGGAGGGATAGTAGAGACGGCCAGAGGAGATGACAACGAATGATGAAACCGATCGAAGGAGGGCTCGACAAACGGCGCCCGAATCTAAGCCGATTTCCACGTCTAATAATAGAAGAGCGATTCGTCTGTCTGCGCGGAAGAGTTAATTAAGATCAAGACGAGAAGAGAAATACGAACAGCGGGTTCTCTCGGCGAACGCTCAGCTTGGCGGACGGCGCGAGGAATCGTCGGACGAATCTTCGTATTTCCCTCCTAGCAATAACTCCCTCGGACAACGACTAGAAGCTGGATTTTACGCATTTCTCGCCTCTGCCCGGGATCGGGGTTGTAACCTCTCTCACAGAATCTATGCAACGTTCGTCTCTTTTATGGGAACGTGGGAAAAAATGCCCTCATCTGTTCAAGCAAATCTGTGTTCCATCAGGCATCTATGTGCTTCTATTCATCCGGTGATTTTAGAGCATAGCTATGCCAGGCGGTGTCGTGTTCCCTAGGAACAATGCGGTGAAACGGCTCGGCGCCGTTGTTCGGAGTCGATCCCTCAGTGTCGCAGGTCGTTCTCCGCAGCCCCGAACACGTTTGGAAATCTCTAGAATATGGAAAGTTCGACGATCGACCCGAACCTGGAGGAAGAACACAATCCGGCGCACCTGTAGGTCGAGCAGAGGAGAAGAGAGGATCGAAGAACAGCGTATTCTGTACCATCGTTAAACGAGTGGCTTTACTAGTTCCTCCCTAGAAGCGGCGCCTGAGCAGAAGGGAAGGAAAAGGCGAGAGAAGCCAAGATCATTAATGACTTTATCGAGTGCTCGGAAAACTGTCGCGGCTGGCGCTCGGGTGATCGCCGCACAGGCTGCTATCGGTTCGAGTCGGCTGGAGTATCGACTCTCGGTACCGCCCGGAGAGCTATATGACCGTCGACGTTGTTCTAGTGATCGTCGTCGTCGTCCTCCTCCCCGCGCCTGATCGTCGTGGTCGCAGCAGCAGCAGCCCGGCGTCGCTCAATCCGCAGCGCAATGGGCAATCGAGGCCGTGGTGTCGGGATTACCGTAGACCTACGGCGACTGACGTTGGTACGAATGAGTGGATGAGGGAGGTGGCTAATCTATATATAGATAAGGAAAATGGCCATGATCTCTCGTTTGGTAAGCCTCTGTCTCACTCAGTGGTCGGGGTCGGAACCAACGGACCGTGTCTCGGCCACGGCTTCGACACCGCGCTCACGAACGGCGACGATGGCGTTACACTTCAGGAGTTCCCCGTTTTGAACATCGGGAGACGCAGCCAAGCACTTCGGCTCAGAGCTCTAAATTATGAGGCCGATTTTTTACCTCGCTCGCTCGCTTGATGCAGGTCTGGACGAGGACCTTCGGTCGCTGTACGCCGACATCGCGTGAATTTCTCTCGTATCAGCCAGCCAAGCCGAAAAATGGAGGATGATAAATTATTCTGAATTCGGGTTTGTGTCCATCTACGTCAAAGCAAATGGATTGCGTGGCGGATACAGAAGAAGCGTGACAGACATCTCGCGCCGATGGTCACTTGTCTGAGCTTCTGTATCGCCGTTCGCCCAATCGACCCCCTCACTGGGGATGATCATCACATCATCTGAGGCTTTCTGGGCTCGATTTCCGATATCCGAGCGAATTCCATCATTTTCGAAGACCCACGAATCCCAACTAAGCCCAAGTATGGGCTGACGACGTCGACTTATCCTTTGGAATTTGGATGAAGGCCAGCTGGTACGTCTCTTACGAGTTTCGGGGGGGCATAGGGACGACAACACTAATGCTCGCATGGGAAGGCCGGGGAGAAACTCGGACGTCTCCCTCAGTTCCTGCGCTCATCTCCAGCGTCTTATTCCTCTGCCGTCTCGGATACGCTTCCGGCAAGCCTCGATAGCCCATCTGCACTTTCGGGTGTCTCATGTGTCGCAAGCGACCCTTTAGGTGCCGCATCTGTAGCGCTGCTCTCGAAGAAGCGAGCGACGGAGCCGGCCGGCTGGCTGGCAAAGCAAGCCCCTCTCTATGCCATTTCACGGATCAGCTTGTTTCGTCCGCGGAAAATTTCAAAGACAGCGCATCTCTTTCACTGGGAGCTGAGGAATAGTCGGCCGAGTGAATAGCGGATGCAGCTGCTCCAGACACACTCGCGCACCGTATACGTTCGCAGAGGAGGCGGCGGCGGCGGCGGCCAACAAACTTGGGCAGGAGCTTAGAACGCGCGCTCACTAACTTGGCGCGCTGCTCCACTGTCGGATCCCGGTTGCTTGGTGGGCGCTCCTCCGTGGAACGGCGGGTCGGTCGACAGAACTGTCGGTTCGTCTGTCGGTCGGTCGGTCGACAGACAGACCAGCCGACGGTGAGGTGAGAACCGAGAACACGAATTCATCCTGGCTTATCTTCACATGCAGAAGAGAAAAAAAAACTTCGCTGCTTCGGACTCTCTGACTTCGCTCCCCCGCCAGCCTCACCGCCCGGCAGCCGAGCCGGTGAACATTTTTCCGTGTTGAACGCGCGAAACCCAGAGCCTGAGGCAGATAGGGACCGAGCGACCAGGTGAAGAACATTTGTTTCGCCCCCGCGGGCTCGAAGCCTTCGGATTCACGAACCCTCTGAAGCTCTCAGCCGGAGACGACCCTCAAAGGCAGCCCCAGAGCCCCAGGAGAGGTCGGCCATCATCACCGATCCCGCCGCGTCAGCGCGAAAAATCCTCAGCTCGAAGTTCCGATATGCATCGGGAGACAGACCGCGCGGTACTTCAGCGACCCGCAACCGTCGCTCAGTCACGGCATGAATTGTCGCGTCATCGGCGTGAATTCCAACGTGACGACCATCCATGCCGCCGAGCCTAGATGCCCCGAAAGAGCTTGCTTGAGTCCGTAGGCGTCGCCCGAGGCCGAAACGGCCCTCCGCAGGCGCATACTCCCCATTCCGACGCCAGCTGCTGCTGCCGCCCCGGAAGCCGCTTCTCGAACTGTTCCTTTCTCCCTATGTAATTTCGTGCTCTTTGCGCTCTCTCTTCTGTCGTTCGCTTCCCACGTGCGCTCGTCGATTCGTTTGCTTCCATCTTATGCTGGAAGCTTACTCCGCCTGTCTGCCTGACCGGTCGGCTACCGATTTTGTGGGCGATCAGACCCACCACACGGCTTCCGAGTTCTTTCATCATGGCGGAACAATGAATCGATTTCGTTCCATCGACGTACTTTTGCAGCTGGTCCGTCTTTAGGGAACTCGACTGCTCTTTGGATTCGCCGAATCGAAAGACGGCTGTCGAGTGTTTTCCAGAAACATTGGGAGGACTAGTACATCTTGTGAGAGCTTTCCCGAGTTCGCTTCCTCTCACGTCGTGTTCATTCAAGGTCGCTCTCCCATCCCCTCCCCTCAGTCGTATTCCGAGAATTCCTTGAATTCGCTCGCTTGATTTTGACTTCCATGAGTGCCTTTCACTCGGGAAGTTTGTTTGCCTACAAGATGACAGCTGGTTGAAGTTTCTCGATGGCGGAGAGTGGCTAGGTTCGCTGTCGTTCCTGACCGACCGACCGATCGGCCGAGTGTTATTAGATACGTGTAAAGGCTATTCCCTTCGTGCCGTTTTTGAGTAGGGGAAACTTGGTCCGGAGTAAGATGGATCTCTCGTCTATTTTTGCCGACGACGTTCACGATACAAACTCTGGTGCTGGTTCGATACCGGCTCTCCACAGCGTGTCACTCGCTGAGCTTTCGATCTCGGCCATGCGGAGCCTGATCGCCTCAATGGACTGTAGGAAACTTTATGTCGGATAAGGTTCGTCAATCGACTCATCTCTCGTAGCAGCGCCAGCGCAGGAAGCGATAGTTTCCTATATCCGAAACTCTTCATCAACAACTTCTCAAGAATGAGTGAATTTCCACTCGCCGTATGACCCGTCGACGACCGGCTCTCGACCGACAGACGGGCTCAGCAGATGTCCTGTCGTATGCGTCCTACCTTACAATGGCTGGCTTCGTCCCCTCTCAGCTCCCCCCTCACATATAAGAGGGGTATCATTGATGTAATGAAATTTGTCACTCTTCGCGGATTCCTGGGTGGCTTCCCCCAGCGCGACGGGGCTGCCCTGACGGGGGGCACGGAGGGGGAACTTGGCCCACTGGCCAAGCAGTCACCCAGCCCGCTCGAACGAGCGAATACGATTCGGCAACAACCTGACTGTGATGTCCGTGAGCTCATCCGTTCAACTCGGTTCGGCGCCCGAAACCCACCAAGTGTGAACAGAGCAATATGTCTCCCTGTCCGGCTCTCGGTCGGATGGTCGGTCGCTTGGTCAGTCTGTTCGTCGGCCTGGCCAGTACGCGTTGACCTCCGAATCGCGCTCGTGGGCAGAAAAATTGTTGCGGAACGGGACCTTGAAACGAGTTGGAACGGGGGCGGCTATACATATGTTTTTGTAGAGTAGTCTCGTCCTGATCTGAGGAACAGGATTCGGTCAGTACCTACATCGATTCGATCAGGAGCCGGAATCTAAAGAGTTTCGTTTCTGTTTCAGCGTGCCCTCGTGGAATGTTCAAGTCGACGGTGGGAGATGAATCGTGTCAGCCGTGTCCACGGAACAGCGAAGCTTTAGACGACGGCTCCCCTGAATGCCAATGTCTGGACGGATATTACCGATCTTCAAGCGACCCGAAGTCGATGGCTTGCACTCAGCCACCCATGGCTCCACAAAACCTTTCGTTTGCCTTCGTTGATCAGAGCACTGTCATTTTGGTGTGGAGACCCCCGCAAGACACCGGCGGGAGGCGGGACATCGTCTACCGGGTCGTGTGCGAGGCCTGCGGCGCTCAAGCGACTTATACTCCGGCGCAGAGCGGTTTCAATGAGACGCGGGTGACTGTTTCCGGTCTCAACCCGGTGACTCGATACCGTTTCGAAGTTTATGCCGAAAACGGTGTATCCAATATCGCCGGCGACGAACTCCACAAAGCGGAAATTCTCATAAAGACAGAGGCATCTGTTCCGTCCATAATTTCAAAGGTCTACGCCCGACCTGTCAGGATGAACGAGATCGTACTCAATTGGGAACCGCCCAAAGGAGGGCCGGGTCTCCCGGACATAGAGCGCTACGAAGTACGCTATTTCCCGCGGCAGTTTTCGCGTAACGAAACGGTCGTTCAAACGAACATGACTCAGATTGCGATTGGCAACCTGAAGCCGCGCACCGAGTACGGTTTCCAAGTACGCGTTCGAACCCAGCGGGGCTTCAGCGACTACAGTGAGCCTTTGTACCGGGTCACGGGGCAACTGCATCCGACCAGTGGAGGCAGTGGAGCAATCGCGCCATCGGCCGAAGGCAGTTCGAGCAGTCCGAGCAATATGACCATCTTTTCGGGCGTAGTTGGAGCGCTTGCCATCATCGTTATCGGGGTCATTGTGTTCCTGTTGTACGTGAAAAGGTACGTTGCTGAGTCCACTCATTGAATCCCATTCCGGCCGTGCCGGGAGCCGTTAATAGACGTTCAGGTAGACGCATTCCTGATCACTGGCCGGGAGTGCAGCGCTGATTCCTTCTCGTTTCTCCGACAGGAACAGCGATGAATGCAACAAGAAGCAGCCTAGTGATTGCGACACCCTCGAGTACCGAAACGGGGAAGGTAAGAAAAGTAAGTTGCTTTTAACGCTTTTTCTCTTCTTCTCCTATCGACGTCGTCAGTGATTTACCTCGCATGCTAGATCGTTGTTAGAACGCGCCGTGCAGTTCATGACGCGTACCGACATAGGTCATGAGTCATGATTCTCATGACTGACAATTCTGGCAATCTTGAGCGTCCGAAATCCTCCAGCCGAAATCGAGCCGCGGCTCCAGACGGACGAGCTCGTTCGGGATTTATCCCTGTCTATCGGTAAATTCGTCTACCTGATATTGCGTACGATCTGATCTAACGGTAAACGAACGCGTTCACAGTGGTGGATCATAGACCTCTGATGATAGCGGCCCCCATGTGTAAGTAGTGACTGTCCCGCGACACATTCAGCTGAGAACCCAATGTGCTTAAATATTTTGGCACGCTGCTTATTGGGTCGGAGAGTGAAAAGAACCCGTGTTTACAAAACGAGATGGGAACGGCGGCGGCAATGAACGAGAAAAGGTGGAGCCGCCGACCGGGGTCTTTTGTTCTTCACGAGGTGCACTCTTTGTTGCAAATACGAGAAATCGCGATTTGTCACACCTTCAAAGCATCGGTACTCGGCCGAACCTCCATTTCCCTCTGTTCCCCCTGTTTCGTGCCCGGCTTCGCGTGAGCTGATGGTTTGGAAGCTCTAATGGAATATACATCTCCGCACCGACCGGCGCACCGAGCTTGTTGTTCCTCGTCGCTCAAGTCCACCTCTCAGGGGTGCGATGTCATCAGATTAATGAGCATTATGCCTCGTTCCGAAGAAGAAGAGAGACACTGCGTCAAGCTTGATCTAATGTCGAGTGATCTACGAACCGACACTACGGGGTGTACCGGGTGCTATTTGCTCGAAAGAACATCCAATGTTCCGAATAGCTGCGGATGTACCATTCCGACGCGAATAAGGCCCGCTGACGCGTTAGGAGAGCGACAAATACTTTCTTCCGCTACGCGAACGTTTAATGTCGAGTCCCGAAGCGACAAGACAATTTAAGTTTCTCTCCGAGTGCAAGCTTTCCATACGTCTTGTCGACGGCGCGCACTCCTCCTACGGGATCCTGAACGCGTCGTTCTGTGCTTACAGGCGTAGCATGCTTCACTACTTATTGCCGAAGGAATAATGAGCGGAGCAGGCTTTCGCCTGCTTACCTTTCCTTTGTATCTATCTGCTTACTTCAAGTTACGGTTATACGGTCGAGCGGATAGCGTGATCCGTGCGTGAGGAACGCCACGCCTAGCTTGTCGTAGCGGGCGAGCTCGCTCGCCCGCCCGCCTGTGGCACGCATCTTCTTGAGTATCTGCCGTCTTATTGAGTGTCGGAGTTGTCGTTGTAGTCGAACTTTTCGCCGGCGTAATCTTCTTCGTCGATCGATCACTGATGAGCAAATGAATGTCTTTTTTCAGTTACCACGCCATTGTTCACCAACTGCGGTACTCTGGGCAGCCGTTTGTACATTGATCCGCACACGTACGAAGATCCTCAGCAAGCCGTGAAGGAATTCACAAGAGAAATCGACCGGGATGCCGTCAGCATCGAGCGTGTCATAGGTTCCGGAGAATTCGCTGACGTCTGCAAAGGACTCCTGCGCACACAAACAGCCCGCGGCGAAATCCGTCTTGTTCCTGTAGCCGTCAAAACCCTCAAACGGGACAGCTCGGACAAGGCGCGAAACGATTTCCTCACCGAAGCAACCATCATGGGACAGTTCGATCATCCGAACGTCATATACTTGGAGGGCGTCGTGACCAAGAGCATGCCGGTCATGATTGTTACCGAACTGATGGAGAACGGATCCCTGGATCAGTTCTTGCGGGAGAACCCCGGCCAGTTCAATATGGTGGAGTTGGTCGCAATGTTACACGGAATCGCGTCGGGCATGCAATACCTGGCCGACATGAGTTTCGTTCACAGAGTAAGTTCCCTTCGGAATTCCTTTCAGGGACGATTTTCCGGAAACGTCCCAAATGTCCCGCGGAAATGTCCCGCGGGCCCTAAGTGAATCCCTCGGTCTCGGGGTAACCGGTTCGTGTTTTTTTTCTCGCCAGGATCTCGCAGCTCGGAATGTTCTGGTCAATGCTGAGCTAGTCTGCAAAATCGCGGATTTCGGACTCTCGCGTGAAATCGAGTACACGGCGTACTCCGGCAGCGAGGGTGAATACCGCACATCCGGCGGGAAGATCCCCGTCCGCTGGACCGCCCCCGAAGGCATCCAGTATCGGATCTTCACGACCGCGAGCGATGTCTGGAGTTTCGGCATCGTCTGCTGGGAAGTTCTTTCGTCAGGAGAGCGGCCGTACTTTAACTGGCTGAATCAAGACGTTATTCAGCGCGTAGAGGCCGGTTATCGACTTCCACCTCCGAAAGAATGTCCAGAAGCGTTGCACATGCTCATGCTTGACTGTTGGCGATCAGACCGCTCTCTGCGTCCAACGTTCGCGAATATTGTTACGACTCTTGAAAGCCTTCTTAAACAGCCTGGAACCCTGCGAAGACTTGCAGTGAATAACAATAAGCAACGGGCTCACGGCTCGACGCTCCAGTTGGAAACTGTCGTCGTGAAAGGTCAAGCGACCCTACATCAGAATAATCTCAATCACCAACAGCAGAGCGCCATATACGGCTGTACTCCAAACTCTGTGACCCTCGGCGGCGCCCATTCAACCATGCAGTTGCATCACAACGCGGTGAGTCTCCCTTGCGGTCGTGCGACGCTACCTTGATTTTCCCCCTCTGATGATTATCGGGACTGCCGTCAGGACCCTCGGCGCGCTTGATCGCACTCTCTTCCTCTGGTCCTGTTTCCGACCTGTTTCGATGCTCTTGGCCCCCGTATCATCATCTTGTGAGACATGACGTATTTTTCCAATATTCCAGACGAACGCCCGGAGCGTAGAAGAATGGCTAACCTGCCTAAAAATGTCCCGCTACCTCGACCACTTCTTGCGTGGAGGGTTCAATTCAATGGATGCTGTGTCCCGCATGCGGCAGTCCGATCTCATTCGGATTGGAGTCGCACTGGTGGGTCACCAGAAGAAGATTCTGGACAACATTAAACTGCTCAATGACGCCAACCAGCTGAGGCTGTCAGCGGCGCACAGCACGGGCGATGTGCTTCAAAGGGGGATGCCCTCCTCGAAAGGGGGCCAGGACGGGTTCCTAGTGTAGACAATAATAATTGCTGTTGAAGGTTTTTTATATATAATATGTATGTATTCCATGCATGATTCGTGTTGGCTGTCGGAAAGAAATCGCGACCTACCTCGCAAACCGCAACTTTCACCGGATCTGTGTACCTCACCGTCGGTCGTCACCTCGCACATGCAGCCGGGAGGGNGGGAGCTAGAGATGAGGAGACGGCGACGTCGATAGATCCCGAAGCTGCGAGGAGAAAAAAATCCCCGTACGTCGGCATCGCGTCGACGACGCCACCCCCCCCCCCTCCTTTGGAGCTCCGAATTCGGAGCTCGCTCAATATCAGCGAAATCCCGGAAGGATCGCTCCGAGGTAGAATCCCTGCTCCCGGTTGCTGACGAGAACTCCGCCTACAACGAAACGCTAACCTCACCGGAGCTCTTCGGGAGCTTTTGCCATGTAAAAAGTCTTCGACGAAAAGTCAGTGAACGGTTCGGCTGAAACCTCGCCGCTTGCGCTCATTCTGGTCAAGGTTCCGACCTGGATGAGGACCGACTTTCGGGAAAGCAGCGACTGGCCACTGGTGGACGGGATGGGGAGGGGATCTGAAAGATTGTTCGAATTATTGTATCTATAGACAGAATCCGATCGAATGAATGGGCGAATAATTGTTTTGGATGGTAATCCGGATGGTCAACGCCATCGTGTAGGTCGTCGCGTCCGCGGAAATCATCGCGTTACTGTCGCGTGGAATCGTAGTTGCTACCGGACCTGGACTTCCTCCAGATGTACAATCGATACGGGAAGGGACAGAGGAAGGAGAATGGGATTTCGTCCAGGGATGAGAAGAACACACAAACCACTGTTAAATAGGCATCGACATTTAAGCATTCTCCGAAATGTGTACGCCGAGTAACACGACGACGGTAGTCGACAGATTTGCGATTTCGACAGCAGCCGCGGTAGCCAACAGAAGCCGACCCGGGAGTCGGCAAGCCACTATTCGTTGCGATGCCTCATAGAAGTTCTTTTGAGGACTGATAAATACCTAGATCATGGCAGGGTTGATTGAACCGTATCTCAGTTAGGACTCGCCATGTTTCGGCTGCTCAACTTGAACCCTTCAGGTCATTGCTCTTGTAGACTTTCCGGAGATCGAACGAATGAGTTCGCTGTTGAGCCCCACCCCATTCTCGGCCAAACGCAATGTTAGCAAGCTGCATATCTCCTTCCCTACGTAAACGACATGCAAGTCCTTCGGACAAATGTTAAGAATTCGCGACAGCGAACCGACATCGAGCGTTATGCCTTAAGCACGGCATTACACATATTCCATATCAAGGAGGATTTGAGACGGAAGATGAGGAAATGAAAAACAAAGGAAAAGCTTATCCTTCCGTACTCCTCTCCCAACTTTTCGTTGACGTCGCCCTCTATTCGCCATGTCGAACCGATGCTCCCTCAAACAATTCTGAATTTTTATCCTGACAGTCGACATGTTGTTTCTTGCGCGGTATCGAGCTGAGTACCTCGTTGGACTTCGAAATTTGTTCTCCCGGTATTTTCCTGAGAGGAATAATTCTTCCCGAGTCGTAGATCGCCCTCGGAACGGAATCCTACAGAATCGTGGGGACGTTTCGACGCTCGGGGCCGTACACAGGACCGCTGGGTGGAGTGTGTTTGGAAGATGAACAGACGTAATTTATTTGCGCTCCAGCCGTGGTGCCGGTGATCTGGAGTACTCGAGTCGAACAACGAAAAGCAGAAGGAGTTATCGGATGGAGTAGATTTTTTTTTTGTTCCGCACAACTGGCGCCCACCAACGAGACGGCGTATTGTAAATTAGCTAGACGACGCTGTATATATTCCTTGTACATAGATGATGATGACGATGCTGATAATGACGAAAGAGAACATTCATTGAGATAATAATAATGATTATTGAATCAAATATTCGTATGTGGAACCGAAACAACGAAACAATGCATCATGGAAAACACACATCCTTCCGAAAATACACTAAGCTGAGACCGCAGGCTTCAGACGGATTGTGGGAGTTCCCTATCATGGCGGGGATATAAGAGAGCGAGAATTCAAACACGAAAGAAGCTATTGTTGTCGAAATTTCTAAAAGAATGAACGGAAAAGCCGTTACAGAAACGCTCTCAGACAACGATTTTATAGAAGCTGGAAGGGATGGAAGAGAGCTGTAGTTAATGCAAAAATAAAAGGAAGGCATGGAGCTCTTGAATGAAATGGTGGAGCTCATCGAGGATGTATGGTACTGTCAGACGTCGGACGATTAGCCTCGAAGCCGAAACATATGATGATAAGAACATCAACAAGAACATACATAGATAGTTATGCCATCAAGAAGCTTGTGGAAACGCGCCAACGAATAAAACAAATGATACATTCCTTAAACAATCAGATTCTTCAATTAGATACATACACCATTTTTTGTCGTTTATGAGCAGGAACCTCGCCCCCTGAATCCTCGTCGTCCCCATGGAGGCTATCATCAATGCCCGTGGAAACTTTTTGGAGGCTATGTGCATCGACTCTCGCGATGCTCTCGTGTTTTCGTTCCCATTTGTCCGTCCCGATGGTATAGACCCAGTAAGGTAGATTGCCGACGAGAAATTCCCCGCCCGATCGACTCCTTCCAGTCCGCGCTATGGTCTACTTCCCGACACGTCAATCTTGCGGGAATTACATGCTGTCCTGGTATAAGCCCCTCCCAAGACTGGTTCTACAGAAATCCATGTCTTGACCATCATATTCTCCAGCATATATCGCCAGAAAACATTTAGATTCCGGATTAAGGAATTCATCGATTCGAACGATCCGCTGCCGAACTGAACGCGAGAACTTCTTGAAGTATAGCTTTCGATGGATCGCGTCCGGAGCAGCGTGATTCCGCGACCTGATCGAGTTCCCCGCAGCCCGGACTCACTCGACAGATTTCTGTCACTCACAGCACAACTCTGAAGAGATCTCCACCCTTACCAATCGACCAGGGATTTCCTCCCGAAAGCATTATATTAGTGCGCGAAATTCCAACTCGGAATACTCGAATCTAGTCAAGGCCCCAGACATCATCTGCGGAATATTCATGAAACATATCACGATCTTGAGTCAGCTCAACGATCACATTGGTCAAGTTGATAAGCTGGAAAGTGCGGGGAGTCAATCGAGATTGCTCTGACCTTTGAGCGACGCAATGAATTATTTACCAGTGCTTGGCTGTGGACGTTGGTCATTAATCGATTGGATCTGCGCAATGTTGAAATCCCCCGACTCCGGCCGCTGGGTCGTAGACTTCGATGAGCAGCGAGCAGCAATCAGTGGGGCAGACTCTCAACTATTTGATTGTGATCCGTGTACGGAACGCCCAGGACCTTGGATCACCCAAAATTTGAGAATTCCAGATACAGCCCATATCTGCATTGATGCCTTAATTCTGCTGCGTCTGTCTGTGGCTACATTCCTCGAAGTGGCTCTCTCCACTAAGTTCCAGCGGAAGAACGGGTGGCCGACGCCTTCTGGTTTTGGGGATGAAATCAAATCCCTCCAGGGTTGAGTTATCCGTCTCTCGATGCTACACGATGACAGCAGCGCTCTTTTTGGGAACAGTCTCTTGAGCCTCGGTGAGGCATCTTTCCGAAAAATCAACCCTCGCATGCGGTTATCAAGTTGGCAACGTTCGCTTGGCGTAGCGCTCGTGGGAAGCAATTCGTAGTCGTTCATAGGTACGCGGGAGCTCCAAGCTCCACATACCAGCCCGGGGAATATCGTTGATGGTGACGGAGCAAGGATGTCGCAAATGTATGCAGCTCTCAGGTTCCGTGCTTTGAGGAGTAGGTCAGGGTCTAGCTCACGAGTCAAGTTAGCATCAACAATGGAGCGAATAAAGGTGCGGAGGCTTTTTCTCCGGGCTGTTTTAGACGCATGAGCTCCAAAACTCGATCCTGGTGTTGAGAAACTTCACTCAGCAAGAGAATGGGGTTCGACGCCGTAGCGGAGTCGTTCATATTGTACTGGCGGCCCGAGGAAGTCAGCCAGGGCTCGTATGATTATTACACCGGTCTGTTTTTGTGTGGAGATCTCGATTGCCGGAAGCCGATTCCTGGCAGGACAGAGTCCTCTTCTCAGCTGGGTTGAATTAGAGACAACCCAACGAGCCTCTCGGACACTCGGCTCGGTCCGAGAGCGTCCTCGGTGCACGCGAGAATGAATAGGACGAGAAACCTCCAGGTTTGCTGAGAAGCCCGATGATGGAGCTTCCATTGCAAACAAGGATCCTATTGCATTAGTTCTTCTCCACTGTATGGTTTCGTCCCTGCCGACATCAATGCCTCCGACTTATCACGTACCGAACAAACGATCGCGGGCTCAGACGGACTGATTCCGAGCTCAAATTCAATGTGAGCGCGCCGCCTAGACTTTCTTCCTCGGCCCACCACAAGGCAACCTCGTGTTTGAGCTCGGATACGGTCGGTGTTGGTATTTGTCTTCGTAGGGAGAGAGGGGGCCCGGTTCAAGAATGATACGCGTCAGGAGAATCTCAATCGACATGCTGCGCCATTCGGAAGTGATAAGTGTCTACGCGTTTCGCTGTTTTCCCTTGCGGGGAACGGACAAATAAAGGCAACGCTCCGCTGTCGCAGGATGATGAACTCTACCCGTCAGTGCCCGCGAACACGCGAGAACGCGCGTGCACGCAATCACTGTCGCTTTGGTGCGGAACTTCCCTTTCGCACGGAATTTCCCACCGGAAAAATGCTGCGAATTCCACGAAGATGAGCTCCAGGTTTCTGGTACGAAGTCCGTTGCCTAGAGCCGTCTTTCTCCGTTTGACGCATTGGTCCACTCCAGAATTAGTGACCTGGCAATGCCCGGAATGCGAGGAATCATCTGATTGGCGAGGAGACGGTCATCCAACCTTGGAGCGCAGCCTTCTTATCACTGGATGGCAAGGAAAAACTGCAGAATAGTTCTTCTCCGCCCTATTTTCATCGCTCCTGAAATTC